TCCTTCAAAAACTGTGTGCAAGTGTACCTAGAAGGATTGATGCTGTTTTGAAGGCAAAGGGGTTCACACCAAATATTGATTTTACTTGGATTTCTCTTCTGTTCGCTCACTTTGCATTTTGTAAACTGATAAACATAAACAACTACAATATATAAGGAAAATGACTGTTACTCATTTTGTCCAACTGATATACGTTCTATTTTTTTCAGTGTATAATTGTAAACTAAATAAAAGGTTTTGGAACTGGGACAAGGATTCCATGACAGAGTGAACAAGCACACAATCTGAACTAAAATTTAGAATTCTACAACTGAATTTTTAGTTAAATTGCATGAATCAAGTTGAAAAAATATTGCTTCCAGCATCATCTCACAGGGATGATGCCATCTAGAAATTCATTTTTTAAAAAATCTGTTCTTTTTTTATAGCTTTGGATTCCACAAGCTTTTGGTTGCCGCCCTGAATATGACAATGGCCTGGAAGAAACAGTTTTTGGATTTGAACCTTGGATCATTGTGGTGAATCTCGCAATGCCCTTTTCCATTTTCTACCGGATGCATTCAGCAGCCTCCCTCTTTGAGGTCAGTTGCAAAACATAAATTTTATCCTTACAACAGGAAGGAAGGAGGAAAGGCTGGAAGATAAATACACCATCAGATATTTGCCCAAAGAAGATCCATGATCATTTGAATGAATTCATTTGACACCTCTCCAGTCCCTCGTGGGGAATCTAAGCAAACATTAATACATCTCCTATAAAAACATTAATACTTTTTCATAGCTAATACACAATTAGCTTCAGGGCTGCAGTTTTTAAGGGAAAGAGATGATTTGGCACTTAGATGGACATGCATGTTACACCCCCTAAGTCCAGTGTGTTGCTGCAGAAGTCGAGGAAAAGACCAGGTGCCAGGTGAGCATCTCTGCATCCTCTGATCCAGAGCAGGCCACATCTCTGTAATGCAGGGTGTCAGAGGTTGGCCCACAGAGTTCAAAGGGGCTGTTGGAAATTGCAGTCTAAGATAATGACAACATTACTGGACCTTTCTTTGGCTAACTCTATGAAGGTCACCATTTGAAAAAAACCTGTTCCCTATATAAATTCAACTTGCAGTTTTCATAAGTTCTCTATGAAATCTCTAATATACAATGAAAAATACAAGCAGTATACCAGCCATGTTTCTATCAAAATACTAATATTACTACTACTACTACTACTAATAAATATTCAGAAGTGTCATTGATTTCATTGATATGCAAAAGTGAGGGCATTCAGGATTATATCATTTAAGCCTCTTTGATTATGAAAGGAGAGAAATAACCAAATATAGCAGTGAAACTTTTGGAACATATTCATAATCTAAGTATGTACTGAGTAGACCATCAATGTAATGTTTGTTATTCAGAAGAGCACTGTTATGTTACTATTTCACTAGACAGGTATACTTATGAGAAATAACAATAACTACATAATTTTGTGTTTGTCACATGTTTCTTTATATTTGTTTATGACATTACTAATAAAGAGAATGGCAGTTGCAGTTCTAACTTTCAATGGCTGAATAATTCATAGCAGAGGTTCTGTTCCAAATACAGGGCTGGTGCTGTTCCATGTGAACCATCCAAATGGAGACTACGGGCTGCCATGCTTTTCCATGTGTGTGGTTGACTCCTTATGGGACTTATTTCATCAAACATTATGATTGCAGACATCAATACAGAATGAAAAGTGCTACCCTTTCTACTAATAGAGTAACATGGAGTTACTGAGACTAGTGAAAAGGCTATCAGAACACTGTTTGCTCTCTGCATCTGGAAAGCTGTCCATGCCATATGCCCAACCCATGTGAACTAACCAACCTGTGATGGATCCTCCACTAGCTGAGCACAAGTTATTCCCTCCAACTAGAGGCAGCTCTTCTTACTTCCTGCCCAGTAGAATTGGAATATGTAATTTTATGGGCTTCACATTACCCACAAGTTGTTTGAAGTGCCATAAGGAATCAGCCTTCCTAGACTCCTTTCAGTCTAATATGAATGCTTTTGATTGGAATGGACCTGAATATTCAGGCTGAAGTCACATCTTACAGAGACCAGATGGAGTTCTTCCACACAGAACAAGTGAAGTCCCTTATTTAGTGTGCAAGACTGTTTGTCTACCTAGCCAGGGTATGTTTTCTTAATGTCTCTGTTAGTAGTCCTTCAGATCTTAATAGCTGTTGGTTGCATTTTATGTCTGAACCCATTGGTTGTAACATGAAAATTATGTGTGCTGCAGGAGACCAGTTCCAACCTGCATGTGTTCTCCATTTGTTCTTTTCAAATGGATTACCAGGTATGTTGAGTTGGAGACAGGATACAGCCATAGCAGTTGGAACAGCAAGCCTCTCCCCACCCCATTTTATGTCTCTTCTACCAAGCCATTTCTGATGAAAAAGTGCCCATATCAGATCTAAAGGCCTGCTTCTCAGCCCATAACTGCAGATGATCAATAATGGTAGAACATTAAGATCAGAAACAAAAAATAGTAGAACTTCAGGGGAAAAAAATCCCAACATTGTAGTGGGGAGGTCCTGTTGATTTACTGTATTTTTTTGTTTATGTAATAATTAGATGTTCAGTATATCAGAATTGTGCAATTCTATAATAATATTATAATTAATTATACTTATCTTAAAATTGGAGCACATTGGAGATCCATTTTACTTTGCTTTCAGAAGACCAACAGGATGGGGAAGTCTAATCTCCAGTGGTCAATTGTTCCACAGTACAGAGACATAATGAAAAGGAATTTCCTAGTCTTGACTCTTTTGGTCTCACAGGATAGAGAAGTAGAGAAGTGGCCTTGAAAAACTTATTTAACAGACATTACATAAACACCAGCTTAACCCTGAAAGGGAGGAGAGATTGAGAAACACAAGATTCAACCACCTTGACTCTCTTTGTTATAAGGGACAGGGGGGAGAATCTGTGCCTGGCTTTCAAAATTCTGTTATTGTACTCTATAACAATAAAGCTCCAATAGTCCTTACAGAATCTGTTTCCTGAGCTTACCTATCTTGAAGGGCTGAGTTACAGTACAGTAGTGGGGAACTACCAGCAATTTTTCCTGAGTTGTTTGTATTGAACAGGTCAATTCTGATTGAAAGAAGTGGTCCTTTAGGATTAATAATATACAGATAATAAAGAACATGATGCCTTGGAAAGGTTGCTACAAAGGAATCTCTACTTGAGGATTCAGAAAAGATTATCTTTCAACTCTAGGATATATATATATCTAGGAGCTCTGGGTAGTGAACAAGAATAAAAACACAATACAATTATCAAAAACCATTAAACAACAAAAAAATATGTTGCGGCGCTAGTAAAACTCACATCATCAAATAAACAAAAGATCAAACAAAAAAAACCCCCCAAACAAACAAACAAACAAAAAACCAAACAAAAGATCAAACAAACCATGCCAGGTACCAAACAAACATCCTGGCACCAGTACCTGGGGAAAAAGTCAGGTCTTTACTGGGAGGCTGTTCCATAAGGAAGATGCCATGACAGAGAAGACACACTTCTGAAGCCCCACCAGCAATGGTGTTTAAGCAAAGGGACCCAGAATATGCCCACTCTGCCAGATCCGGTGGGATGGGCAGGAACCATCAGGGAGAGGTGGTTCCACAAATGACCTGGCCCCATGTCATATACTGTAGGTCTTTAAAGGTGACAACCAGGGCCTGGGAGCCTACTGGGAGCCAGTGCAGCTCATGTATATTATGTGTGCCCATTATTGTCCACGGTGCTGGATTTATCCAGTCTCCAACCTTCACTTTCCATGGAAGGTGGCTGAGAAGGTGGTTGCACTGCAGCTTCAGAGAACCCTGGAGAAAGCCCTTCAGCCATCCCAGAAAGTGGCATCAAAACCTCTGAGAGATACACCAACCCCAACCTGAGGCCACCAGTGGTCAGCCACAAGCACAATTGCTTTTGGTTCTATATCCCAGCCTGAAACCTGATATAACAGGTCCAGATAATCCAATTCCTCCAGAGCCCTTTGAAGCTGTAGGGTTATACTTTCTCAATAATCTCTTCCCAAAAGTTACGTTATCTCCTAGGAGGCCTTTACTAACCAGGAGGGACATGGATCTAACACACAGGTAACAGAACTCAACAACCCAAAGACCCTATCCACTTCCTCAGAAGTAACCAAATTGAACTCATTCTGGATTACTGGACAAGACTGAGCCACAATCATCTCCAGAGGACCAGCACAAACCAGATATGATTTCTTCTTGCAGCTGGTGCCAGTATGCCCTCCACACTTTAACAGTTTTTCAAGGTGAATATGGAACCTGGCGAAATAATGTTTATCTCACTTTAAAAGCCATAATTGTACATGGTCTGCAAGAAGCTTGCAAATGGCCTTTTATTATCTGCTCTAAATCTTTCCAGGGATTGATAGCAGGCTTATTGGCCAATAATTACTGGAGTTGTTTTTTTCTTTTGTTTCTTGAAGAGAAATGTTACTTTGCTCTTCAGTCCTCTGGCACCTCCCCAGGTCTCCAAGACTCCCAAGACCAAACTCCTGACAGCTGTGGGGCCAGTGTATCTGATCCGGCTTGGGGACTTGAAGGCCCTGAAATTAGCCAGAAGATCCTTTGCTACATCCTTACTGACCTGCAGTAACCTATTGGGTTTGTTCCCAATCTATGCTATTCAAATGACTTTAGATATAGAAAGGCAAAATAAGAGTTCAGTTCCTGTGCTTTTTCTCAATCATCTGTTAAGATTTCTCCAACTGGAGTAAGCAGTGAGTCCACTGCCTACTCTTGCTAGACTTTGCTCGTTTTCTGCCTTTGCCTTCCTGACCTAATTTCTGAGCTGAAACTTTATAGAATTCCTTGGTCGTTAGCCCTTTCTTCCATTTCCAATAAGCATTATTCTTTAGTCTCACCTTCACAAGTTGCTTATTCAATCAATTCTATTATTTTAGATGTCTCCTAGTTTTCTTCCTGATATTGTTTGAGCCTGCACTATCCTTCATTTCCTTTCCAAGGAATCTTAGCTAGTTACATCACCTTTACCTCAAGATTTTCTTCCCATGGCATTTAGTGACTGTCTCATTTAGTGACCATTTGCAGTTACAGCAGTGATGAAAAAGTAACTTTGCAATCATCCCTCACATTTACGACCTTTGCAGGTCTGTAAAACAAAGGAAAGCTGAAGTAAGAACATCAGCACAGTCGTGGTTTCACTTAGTGACCACCTCACTTAATGACCAAGTTGCCAGTCCCAATTGTGGCTGCTAAACGAGGACTATCTGTATTTCTCTTAAGTGTATTAAAACCAGCTTTTAAAAAATTAATGGTTGGGGGTGGTAGTTATCAAGCTTCTTGTTAAAATCAAAGAAGGTGCTGTTACTTACACTCAAAGTTCCCATCACTTTAAAATCCTCAAACAATTCTTCCCCATAGTAAGGACCAAATCCTAGGAGTAGACCCCCTAGTGCCAACCTTAAACTTCTGAAAGAAAGAAAAAATATCACTAACACAATTCAAGAATTTATCTGACATCTTGTGTTTGGCAGAATTAGTCTTCCAACAGATATCTGGGTAGCTGAAATCCCCCATCACAACTACTTCATGACTTTTTAAGGCTTTACTTATCTGTTTTAATAAAACTTCATTATCTCTTTTGATTGCTAACAAGGTATGCCTTCTCTTAGCTTACCCTTTATCTTAATTCAGATGCTTTTGACACTTCTGCTATCATCACTCCCATGGACCTCTATACAGTACAAGTAAATTCATTCTTGACGAATGCCATACTACCTCTCATTTGCCTGCTCTTGTGAAACCTCAAATACTGATTGGTACTGCTTGCAGTAATAATGAGAGGGATGGAACACTTTCCAAGAGTCTCATGAGAAGCTATTTCTGTAAATTAACATTTTTAGCTTAAATCCTGAAGTTTAACATCCTCAGGCATTCTGTGAACCATGAATGAAAGAAAAAGAAAATAACTTGTAAGCAAAGGAGTTATACTTTATTCAGTTCCGGACTACATTCATATTGACATTCACAACCACTGATCCCATCATACAGTAATTATGCATAAGAGCTACTATTTTAGCTGGCTCATAAGTAGCCTAGAAATAACTGAACAAATAAAATTAGACTGAGGTTATTCTAGAGTCCCACCTGCCCCACATTCTTTTTTAAAGATCTCTTTTACATTGAAACTTTTTTAAAATGACAATTTTATTCATAAGAATGCCTTGGCCCCACATTAATCCTACTGGCATTTTACAAAAAGAAGTGGAAGATGGTTGCAGCCCAGTGGTTGCATCCAGGAACAAGGAAGAAAAAAGACAAGGTGGTAGAGGAAGAGATGGGGAGCAACCTCACCAACTTCCTTTCTGGTAAATGACAATATTGTGATTCCCCGTGCCAGGCATAACAAGCTGACCCATCTCTGATTGTCATCTTGTGAGAAAGTCCATCACTCACTGACAACATTCCAAATGCCCACTAGTCCAAAAGTTTGCTGATCCCTGGTATGAATTTTAGCATAAAATTAGAATTTGCTAAAACATAATCTAAAAAAACCCAAACATTCATTGGTCCTTTAATCACAGTTAATAAGAATATCCATGGTGCACTGTTAAATACCATTCCCTTTGTAGGAAAATATAGCAGCAGGAGAATGGCAATAGTAAAGTTATATATAGGTCACGAATTCCATAGGAATACCAGATGATCACATTTACACAGATGCTCAGACAGGATGTGCTTCAACCATGATTTGTTGAAAATAAAGAGCTAGTAAGTCCTACCCAGCCATAGAGTAATCATAAGTTGTTTGTTCAATTCCTAAATTTTCTCAATTTTTTCCTACTATGTTTTGTAGGATTAAAAAATCCAGGAGTAAATTAGGAGTCTGGATTTGATATAAGCAGCCATGGCTAAAACAAACCAGCAATCATAAGCCACAATCTGTAGTTTCAAACTCTGTTTGTTTCTTACAAAAATAAACCCAGATTCTCTTGGGGCAGATTTGACACAACCACATTATGGATTGTAGTTATATGCGAACCAGGATATTGTGAACTTCATAAGTCTCTTATATCCCAACACTGAATCAATGTACTCTGCTTGAATTTGAAGACAGTAGATACCTTCTAAGATGATTTGAGAATTCAGTACTGAGTTGCAGCCTACTCTAAAATGAATCTCCACAGCACCACCATCATTACAGAAGTGGAAGAGGAGGAAGAGCAGTAGGAGTAATAGTAGTTCCCAAATGCATGTCTGGGTTAAAATGTTTAAAGACCTGAAAAGGCTGAAGGCTATGGCTCTAACAGAGATTATCATTCTCCCCTTGTGCAAAACAGATATTCAGAAACAAGAAGCCATGTTTTTTGTTCATCCATCTCTTCTAAGTACAGCCTCTTTCTGCTGACCAAAGAACAAATGTTAAATGAGAACTTGGATCAAAATACTGCCTGGTGGAACTCTACAAAATTCCTGTCAATGTGTGGTGTTGTTCTCAACTTGTAGAGAGAGTGGAAGGGGGGGGGGGAAAGGAGACTTTTTTACAATGTTTTTAAGAGACCTCCTCTTACCATGCTCTCGAGTTAATACTGGGGTGATTGCCAGTCCCCCAGGTTTGTTTGTTTGTTTGTTTTACAGCAGGTTCACAAGGAGGATGTTCTGGGAGCCAAAACTTTCCCAAAACTTCCTTGCAGTTTGTGTGCACGTGTGTGAATGTGAAGATGGAACTTGAAAGTGACCTCTGTTTCTCTCAGTGCCTTTGTGAAGCTGAAAAAATGGCAACATATGTGTTTTAATCAAGGCCTCATTAGGGTTAGGGTTGCAATGCAATTAAATGCAATTTAATGCAATGCAATTAAAACGTGTTTTAATCAAGGCCTCATTAGGGTTAGGGTTGCAATGCAATTTCTTACAATAAGAATACAATAATTCTTACAATAGCTTTAAATTAAATCAGCTTTAATGATCCCCATTCCTACTCAAGATCAAAACCCAGTCATACAACTTCCCCTACTTCTAAATAAATGTCCCATGATTTACATGTGGACAAACAGCAATGACACATTTGGAACAGATGGAAAATAGAAAAGGTACGTAATTGCAACTCCAGTCACTAGTTTCCAAAACCATTCTTCTATATTTTTTTTGTTCCCCAAGAATAAGTTATAAAAATATGATGCAAATCTGATGCAAAAGAACCATTACTCTCTCTTACGTTGAGTTTATTTTTTTCCAGTCATGATCTTTTTCTCTTTTTACTGTTTCTCACTATTAAAATGTGAGCTGCCCAGAGTTGTCTGAGAGTTGGGTGACCTCTAAAACTAATAAAATAAACATGCACTATTTAAAGATAAATAAATATTAGGGAGGGGCAATGGCATTTAAGGCAGGGAACAAAATTTGCATTCCAGTTTGCTAATGAGCTAATGAGCAAAGTGCTGAAATATGGTACCACTATTCTTGAACATCAACTTGGTTACATCTTGTGACTTTTATCATAGAAATATATTAAACTATATCTATAAACTGATAAAGATGAACCACAGAGCAAGACATTTTTACACCATTGGCTTGGGGTAAAGATATGCACTAGGTGATGTTGCTCTAGCTGCAATGTTCAAATAAAGTTTCACTGAATTTTATTTACAAGGTAGTTGCCACTCAGAGATGTAAAATAAAAATACCACACAAAGACACTAAGGCCCTGATTATATTTAATTGTGGCAGAGCAAAAGATAGTTAAGACCTGAGATTCAGACCTCACAGATAGAATTGCTGTAAGAATCTAAGAGTTGAATCTGTATGGGACTAATTGTTCTTCCATGAAAAAACTGCTAAAATCCCATGAAAGCAAACTACTGTTGAAGAGACTGTGCAGCATCACCACATAATTAAATTAACTTTTCCAGGATAGAAATGCTCTTCAGTGACTGTTTTGCATAGAGAAGATAATTTGGAGTCTTCCTCAAATCCAACCTTTGATAGAGCATCACCTCCAATTTTATGACGTTTAGAGGGCACTTTGGAAACCTGGCTGAGAAGCTGTTTACTTCAGAACTGACAAGCCCTTTGCCTGAGGAAGCGAACCCTGCACTAAGAGAAATGGCTGCCATGAAGACAAACTCGTGGTATTTTAAGAGTAAAAGTCATTGCACTCCTATCTAATTAATCAAGGAAGGTCCATTGGAAATGCTAGCTGCTTAACATGACACTTCATGTCTCAATCAGTGCTCAGATTTGAATTTGCATAGTTAGATGAATCAATGACCTTGCTCAAATAATCCAGCTCCTCATTTTTTGACTATGTATCAACTCTAGTTACAACAATTTTCTCTCCAACCACAATGAAGTTAATAAATATCTTGGTTAAAATGCACAAAATATACCATGTAAAAATGGAATTTAGGCCATTTCACTTTTGTTTTTTCCATTTTCCAGCATATGAAAAAAGTTGGGTTCTTGTTCTTCACTTGATTTTCCCTTGGGGTCAAAATGACCCATTTCCTGGATTTCTGGAGGCATCTTCTTCTTGGCAAAAGCCTGGTTGATTTCAGCAAGTGTTTTCTTTTTTGTTTCAGGTAGAACAAAAAAAAGGAAAGCAGCTCCAGCAAGACAGATGGCAGCAAAAACCAGGAAGCAGTATGTCTGCAAGCCTTTCTGAAAACACAAAGCAAAACAAAACCTGGAGTGATTATCATGATCTGTACTGCAGGTGCCAAGCCAGTCTCGGTCTAAGAATGGGCGAGTATCAGGCCAAGAACGCCTTCCTTTAACCAAGGAGACGCCTCCCGAGGCCAGCATTTCATAACACGCTTTGAAGCTGAGCGCTGCATTTTTAACTCTGGGTTACAAACAACAAAACCTGTAGAAAATCATCCAGCTAGAGCTATTTTGGACTATCTGCATTCCTTACCCACTAGTTCACATCATATTCTGTTAAAACGTGCTATTCAATTACATAGTAAATTACTGAACCAGAGATAAGTTTTATACATAAAAGGGAAGTCTCTAACTGCTATTTCATACATGCCATAAAAAAGGCAAACTAAAGCTTTATTTCTATTCAAATGTCTATTTATATTTACAAGTAACCAAAGCACCATTTTCCTTTTATGTTACTTACAGGTTTTATGTAAGTGTGACTCACCTTTATAATTATTTGGCAATAGTAAAAGAGAGTGTAAATTTCAAATGTAGTTTTAGGTGATTGTCATTTTAAAATCTCCAGTGTATAAAAATGTTCTCCCAAAATCTAGGATTGCTCCTACAAACACTGGGAGGCGGGGGGGGGAGCTATCCTTAAATGAATAGGCAGAAAATCTATCATCATCATCATCCCTCATCCCCTTTTAAAAAAAATTTGGTCAACTCAAGGCGGTGAACATACCTAATTCTCCTTCCTCCTCCTCCTCTTTTCCCCACAACAACAGCCCTGTGAGGTGGGTTGGGCTGAGAGAGAGAGAGACTGGCCCAAAGTCACCCAGCCGACTTTGATGCCTCATGTGGGACTCAAACTCACCATCTCCTGTTTCTGGGCAGCACCTTCACCATGACACCAAACTGGCTTCATAAAATTGATACTGCTGTTAATTTTAGACATGTTATTTCTAGCCATAAAATACTTCTATCTGAGCTTTTCTCTGCCCACCTAGCAATTTTATTATTATTTTCATATGCCAACATCTACATAGGTAACATTTTAATTTTTTCCCAGTTAAGTGAGACAATCATTTTAGAACCATCACCTGAAATCTTAACTTGATATTCTGAACATCCTCTGAAACAAATGAGCTCTGTCCCTGCTCCCACCCCCCATTAATCAGTCCTCTTCCTTTTTGTAATTGGCAAGGGCATCAAGCAGAGGGAGTTAACTGGTTAATACTAATTAATACCCAAAATAAGCTACATAAATCCCCCATGAGTAGACTGTAACCGAAAATAAAAGAATAAAAAGGAAAAGTTGAATAGACGGCTGGAAAAAGACAAAAGAGTTAGATTCTGACCCCCTGTTGAAGGTCCCCACCGACATAGGGCAGGCAATTTGGAAGAGGGAGTGGGGAGACAGGCCTTCTCTGCAGGGGCTCCCCTCCCCTCTCACAGCATTCCAGAAACTTGTTAAGATATGGATTTTCCAGAACACCTTTGGAAACTGATTTTGGTCCGAATGCAATATAGCAGCAGGAAATTTCTGGAAACTATCATTTGCTTTTTACTGTTCATTATTGTATTTATTATGTATTTTAATATATTGACAATGTACTCTATTAATTGCACATCAAGGATGTAGAAATCTTACAAATAATAAATCACACATAGAACAAAGTATAATGAAGTCATGGTTCAAATAATTTTTTATGGGGGAAAAAATCAAAATCCTAATTATATCTAACTTCCACTAGTCCCCAGATTGCAATATTATTCCTCTGGTTTGGAGCTCTGCTTACTTGGTTTTGAGCCAGCCTGAAATAGATGCCCCTGTTCCTCACATGAAAGGTGGTGGTGGTGGTGGTGGTGGTGATGATGATGAAGAAGCTGCCCCCCTCACCTGACAGGGAAACCCAATTGAGAAACCTGTATTTTCCCAGATTCTGATTGTCTCTCCCCACTATCTAATTCAACAGTTTGGGTGTGCTAGACAGATCAACCATAGGTTTTTCTTTAACTCTTTTCCATCTGAAACTCTTAGGAGGAGATTTCTTCCTGCTTCACCCTAAAGGCTTTTGACACCAAAGCACCTTGGACTGGGCTCAGAAAACCAACCGACACCCTTTTAACATGGGTGGAGAGATGGACAATCCATTAAAGGATCTAAAATATCAACCAGGTCATGCTGCCCTCATTCATCAGGGCAACTAAGGCCACCTCTCTGCCAGACTGGAAAGGATCCAGATGGTCAGTAAAAGTGTATTCAGTTTGAAATGGATTGTTCCAAAGTTGCTGGAAGTCTTCTAACATCAGTATAACCAGTTTGGTAGTGTTCCAAACTCATTATGAGCCTGCTTTGAAATAAACACAAATTGGAATACTTCCTGAATAGCTAGAACACTTCAGGTAAAGTTGGAACAGGCTAATTCAAACTCAGAAATGAGGTGTTTGGAGCCTGAAACATTTCAAATTCAAAATATTTTAGATACCATTAAAATTTAACACATATTACTTTTATTTGGAGAGAAAAACAACCCACTGGTGAGGAAAGGTGATCGGACAATAAACAGTTATTTCCCTTCCTTCTTCTCTTGTATACAGACATATACAAACCAAAGAAGACTCCTATCCCAGTCATTCTGCCTGGTAAGCCATATGAGGGGGAAGAGAAATAACAGACAGGGGAGGTGGATCTTCTCTCTTGCAGGATAGGGAACTGGTCAAAGGAAGTGCACAAAAGAGAACAGCACAGAACAGTGCTGCTGTTCTGGTAAGTATGGCCAACATGCCCAATGTTCCCCACTGTGCCAGTAAGAATAGGTAATTGGATAGGCAGATATGTAGTCCATTTCCCCAAGCCACTTTCTCCTATTAATTTTTCTTGTTTGTCCTCCCAGATAGTTCCCTTAGAGGAAGTGTATTTGGTGGTGCTCTTAGAATGCAAGTTCTGATAGAAGGAATATCTAAGTAAGGATAACAAATATGGAGTGGGTAACAATCTGTGGGAGTGTACTATGCAACTAAATTGGTCATTGTGCTCTTCTGCATCTGCAGGGCAAAGGAGCAAAAGATGAATCTCAACTCACATTGATTGGGGAAGCTCTTCTAGTGGAATGTCTGCCTACCTTGGTAGAAACTAGAAGGGTTCTTTCCCAGGTGCATATAGAATTGCCAGCAGGTCCATTTTAAAGTGTCCAATCTTATTTCCATTGCTTTGTTATATCAATAACTTTATTTTTAAAAACAAAACCGTGCCAATTCAAGAATTAAAAATCTTCAGTTTATGGTAAAAATATGACTATGTTTGCATGATGCACTTATTTGTGTAATTTAATGTATTAAATTAACCAGTGTTCTGGACTATAAACTAACAACATTGGTTGAGCTGATAAAATACACTGAGTTGATTAATTTCAGCTTCATTGTTTCAGGGAAATACTATCATGAAGATGTATGCAATATTAGGTTGCTGACTCTGTGCCCAAGCAGTCCCCCAAAGATCTGGCTCACCAGCCCAACCTCCTGTTGCTGTCAGAGAGAGAACTACATCAATCCTGTTCAGTGCTCCCATACCTTTGGCCTCTGCACTGTCTTCACTCCAAGCTTGTGTGCGATAGCCAAAATTATAGCATAAGGGTCCCAAGTTTTAAAAGTTCCTGTCAACCTCTTGTCTTGTGATCTTCTGGCATATATTCAAGCCCAGATGGCATGGAAGTAGGCAACATTCTTACTCAGATCCAAAATGCTTTTCACAATGAGTTTATATTCATCAATAATGCAGCAGATGCTCACAAATTCAACCTCATCAATAGCCACCCTAATTCTGGCTGTCATCTGGGGCCTATGTGAAGTCAGCAATGCCTACCGTTAACGTTTAAACCATGCTAACACAATTCTGGGCTGCTGCAGAAGAAGCATTGTATCAAAGACATATGAAGCCCTCCCTCTCCCCTGCATTCATGAGACCCGGAGTTCTGTATATGATTCTGGGCACATTTCCATAATGACACTGATAGGTTATAACAGCTTCAGAAGAGGATAGCAAAGATGATGAAGAGACTAGATGACATGTCCTTATGAGGAATTCTGTATCAGATTGTTTTCATCTTGTACACCACCCAGATTTGCTATGAGTTGGGCAGCCTTTATAAAATAAATAAATTTATAAAGTTTTTAAAAACGGGCTATTCACCCTAGATGAAAGAAGACTGAGGGGAGACTATCAGTGTTCAGATACATAAAAGGGTGCCACAGGAAGGTTGATCAGAACTATTTTCCATCATCACAGAAACTAGGGTGAGAAATAATGGGTACAAGTTGCTGTTACCGAAGCTTTATTCAAATGTAAGGAAAAGCTTCCCAAGGGTAAGACCTGTTACAAGCTACCTATGGAGCTTGTGGGCTCTCACTTTTTGGAAGTTTTGGAGGTTCAGTCTGTGTGTGTTTTAGGCAAATTGGCACTTCTTCACATCAAGTTACCTCAAAACAGGAACAAATACAACATGCTCTGTACCTGCTCAGAATCTTGTATATTCCTGTATATTTTTCAATTAATTCTTCTAAGAGATTGTTTTTGTTTTAAGTTGCTCTATATTTATATTTTTCTGTCCTCCACCACTAACTGTTTTGCACATAATGACTTAAAGTTAAAAATAATTTTTAAATCCTCTTTTTAAAATAAAAAAAATTAAACATTTTAAAATTGCATTTTATTCTATTTCTATCTTATGAAATTGGTCCTATCTCCAGGAGGGACTAATTTCCCTAGCCACATACTTCAACCCTATAGGGCCAAGAGGTGGTACTATGAAATTTATTATTGTTTTCTCCCCTTTTACTTGGTAGTAAGACACATAGGATGGAAGATCTCTAACTCACAAGCCAGGGTTAAGCAGGAAGATGCTAGGTAAAGGCACTCTTCATGGAAGGTAGGTTATGGCAATAAGAACTACTAGTCTACAATATCAAGGTAGGAGGTGGAACTAGGTAGACAGCCCCAGAGGACTGGCAACAGAGAAGGGTTAAGGTCTCCAACCTTTCATCTGACAGGCTCAGCCCTGCTACTACAATTATATATACAAATAATGAATTAAAACCAGAAAGTCAAGGGACCAAAAAATAGGATAATGTTCAGAACTAGTAATAATAATCAAAATGCAATGGGAAGGATAATATAGATTTAAACTTTTTTTTTTAAGATTATATTTTAGAAAAATAAGATTGGAAAGCAATGCTGAGAAAGAAAAAGGGGCAAGCAATGATGGTCAGATTTGAGGGCAGGCCTATCAGTTGCCCCTTTCCCCTCCCCAGAGCAGCATTTTTACATTAACCCCAGACCCTCTTCCCCCATTTATCCTGGAGAAAAAATCCGTAGTTTGCATAATATCGCTTATACTGAAAGGAAACAGCATCAAGTGCATATGTTTTATGTTATCTTAACTAACAAAAGCAAAAATTGTGTTTTGGGCACATGAAGGTCATAAATACTGGAATGTCTGTAATTCAAAATTTTATCTTCTGTTATTTCTCTCTGGTTTATGTCTCCATACCAAGTTTGATTTTCAGTTTTTTAAAACAATCAGATGTTTTAAAAAACTGAAAAAAGACACTTTAAATAGATCAAGAGAGGTTCGTATGCATTCCACCACAAATCTTATTTTGCCCTTTTTAAAATTTTCTGGTGCCTTCTGTAATTCAGAGCCCATACCTGAATGAAAGGGAAAAGGAGCCCAACTACAAAGTTGCAGAGCCAGTTGGTTATACCAGCAATCATAAATGCTGCTGGCCTTTGAGACTGTGGGAAGATCTCTGCAGTGAGGACAAATGGGATCCCACCTGCAAGGAAGAGACAAAGATTGGCTTGCTATTCCTAATAAGAAAAACAGAGGCTTGAAACCTATTGCTGAAGCACACTCAGAAGCGGGCTGCCCTGAGGCCTTCCACAACCCCTTGCAGGGGTCTCCTCTTCCCTTGTTGGTTTCAAGCAACTCACAAAGCCACCCAATTCCAGCAGTAGCTCGCCCGCTAATATTGTAAAGCAATCAAAGAATGTGTCCATGTTCTGATAGCTATACTAGATGTTGTTCTTTGTATCAGTATGTTTTGTATTCAGTATTTAAGTATCCCTCTCTCCATCATCCAGGGGCACTTTGTACCCAATACCACCCTTTCCTTGGGCAAGATCATACATTGACTCAGATTCCAAAAAGTCTGTGTGAGGCTGCAGCCTTCTGCCAGCAACATTTCCCTTCCTGGTGGGTCTCAGAAGCAGCTTAGCAGCCACTAGGGTCCCCAGCAGAACAGCAAGGGCCACTGGGCAGCCTCTGTGCATTACAGCTGCAGTGACCCCTTTTCCCAGTTGGGCACTTTGTCTCTGGATGTGAAAAACAGAGAAGCATTCTGTTCATTTCTGAGGAGAAGCGCAGAAGGTTGTAGGGATTTTCTGGGCATCCATTACTTTTGCTGGAGGAAAAATAGCAGGACTTGGAAGATAAAAGCAGTGCTCTCTTCGATAATGGCTTTTTAACCTTTAAACAAGCATAATGTACTATTGTATGTTTGTTTACATTTACAGTAGAACAATAAAAGCTGCATAAGTAGGCCCTGTAATAAATCTGTAAATACCAAAATCTTCAAACAGCATACGAAGCCACCAAAGTTTATTGCTTCACAATGTCACTCTAATTACTACAATTGTTATGATGCAAATTATTCACTGATCCATATATGTGAATTAGCAAGAGGATCATTACCTGGTCCGATGCAAAATGAGGCGATTATTGCAAGAATGCAAACTATACTGAGATATCGAAGCCAGATTGCTTGATCCTGAAAAATACACAGTAACATTAAAAAATATGTAAATCTAATTTATATGGTGTGCTTATTTTGCATTTTATTGTATGTTTTTTTTTATTCAAACTGTACTTCTTTGTTCTATTTCATTTTAAACCACCCACAGAGCTTTGGCTATTGGGCAGTGATGACATTAATCGTCACAAATCAAATACAAAGACATCTCCAGACTTCTTGCAGACAGTGACAGCAACGTTTGCAGAGAGATACAAAGTCCAATTTGCTGATATCCTGGCTTTTGAAGTCTGTATGCCATCTAATACTTGCTTAGAGTAATAATTAATATATCACAGCTAGCAAATAAACCACAGCTCTATTACTGAGCTTAAGGGAACAGTAACAGAAACACTGTACAGGCTGAGACTAATTTATCCGTGGAAGACATCCAAGGGGAGAGGACAAGACCTTGCTCTGTGTCTGCACTAGTGGGATGGCTCTCTGGTCCAGCGTCAGCCCAAGCTCTCTCCTGCCAGGCTGCTAAGCCTGAGAGGGTGGCTGTCTGAATCAGCCAAGGCTATACCTAATCCAGTCCCTGACCACCCAGCCCCCAGCCCACTCTTGCCTCTAATCCTTTGGTTCTCTGGTCATCCTTTGCTTATGTCCTGTGCAGGACACCCATCAAAAGATTGGGCCAAGATTGTGAATTAAGACTGTTGGATTGCTTTGTTATAAAGAATGGATTCCTGAGCCAAAGTTTTTATTCTATTATAGGCAGATATACACTATCTGATGCCTTTTTCCCCTTTTTCCTTCTTTGTTATTCTACTCATGACTGAGCAGCGTACGGGAAGCACTCTTCATGCTTAAATGTCATAAAATAAGAATATGAAAAAATCAATAACCCTAAGTCAGAAGGGTCACAAGTCACTAATAGAGCACCTCACATGGATGTTCAAGATCTGTACCACCAGGCCAAAAGGCTCTTAGACAGACAGCTATCCAGATCTCTGGAAAACAGAAGTGAACACACGTGCCTCAAAGTGACTTTCACTGCCTCCACTGCTGTGATCCTGGGAAGGAGGCTTTAGCCTTTGTGAAAGGAGATTTTATTTAAAACTGGAAATTAGGAATGGTGAAGACATAATTTAGAACCATGGTTTATCACAACAGTTCAGAAACATTTCCATGTTTTTCAGTCTGGTATAAGCAAAACTGGGAAGGTACTATTGCAAAAAAATGTAATACAGATAGATATCAAGTGAAATACTTCATTGTTACACCTCAATTTGTTATACTACAAATTTTGCAAACTACAATAACATTTTCAGTGTAAAATTTGAGGTGGCTTCTTAAATACAATTGACAAAAGGAAATTAGTATTTTCTATTACTCTATTTCAAAGTTGCACATGAAATATCTTAAATTTGTTGCATATAAGAATGATTAAAAAGAACATATGTTTAACGTATTTAAAAGAAAGCAAATCAATTAACATGTACACACCTGTAGAGTCATACACACAGTCAGTATGATGAAGAAGAACGCCATCAAACCAAACCCTCCAGTCAGAAGAGGTCTGCGTCCAACTCGTTCAATCACTAAACCCTGATTGAAAAACAGGTTGTTAATTATCTCACTGAACTGGTGGATAGATTCACCCTAAGACCCTACTGGGGCAGGGTCATCCGCAGGCAACTCATTCAAATCACAGCGCTGTGCCTTTTGCTAGGCAAATCAAGGGCAATTCCCATACATAATGGATCTTTGAACACTGAACTGCTCTTAATCCAACGTATAAACTGCCTGTATTGAATTTAGTCTTCTAACTTTATAGGATACTTTATGTTCTTACCTCCATATTAGTATTAGCATCCTACTCTGCCCTTTTATTGTGCAGGACATTCCTCCTTGAGCTGAACCCAACTCATAATGCTAGAAGGTTCATTATGCACCTGGTTCAAAATTAGAATCTGCTTTGAGCTTCTGATCAGTTCTAGTTCCAAAGGCTTTGTTTACTTTTTCTTAGTTAAACTTCTACTGTTCTGTAATGCAGAACACATCATCAACACTTGCATGCTGCGGGGGGGGGGGAGGAAGGGAGGAACAGCTGGTAAGTTTGTGCAAAGCTTTGATTTAGAGTCAATTTGATCAAATCTCTTTGAATCAAGTCTGAATAACTGAATAACCTAAATCAATGTGATCTGTCAAATCTAACTGGGTATATTATTCAGTAATTTAATGGACTTTTACACTTTCACGCTTTATTGAAATAAATCAAATTTGTGAATAGAACTGATTTGTTGATTTGAATTCAACCCAACAAATCTCAGATTCAAATGTATTGAATCAGATCACAAATTTGAATTAGATCTTGGCTGGTTTGCATGCTTGCGCTGGCTAAAACTAGATCTAAAACTAATTCGATTAATTTTTTAATTAATTCAGGTCTAATTTTTAATCTAAAACTAATGAGTTTGCAGCCAGCAGGAGACCTGAACCAATAACCCATTCCATCTTCAGCTACATTAACACCTATTCCAACGTATATTAATACATTACTAGAATAACAATGTAGCAACAATGTAGCAACACATACACATATTTTGTAAGATATATCACCTAAGTAGATCTATCCCAATGATGTCTCATTGAATTCCTCAGTCAGAGAGCTAAGGACTTTAGCTGCCTGCACCAACCTCTCTACATGCAAAGAAATATATAGCGTTCTTGATATTCTACACATGGCAGCTTCATATGAAGTACCATGGATGTTTCTTTCTCCCAACAGCTTTAATGCAGAAAACGAAGGCTTCAGCATTTGTAAAACATGGCTTTTTCAGGCAGTTCCCAATCAGTAACAGAAAACATCTAAATCTTCACCTATGTTTGTCTTTAAGGAAAATATAGTTGAATGGCAGGTTTGAACATGAAATCTTCAAATGGTACAGGTAACAGATTTATCTAGCTGAAGTTTCAAGTGTAATCCTAGGCATGTTTTCTTAAGTTCCAGTGTTCCTAGAATAGCCATTCCAATTATTTCAATGAGAGACAATTAAAATGTGCTTCACTTCAATTAAAGCCAAGAGTTCTTACATACTTAACAATAGCTCTACATGTATTAAAGATAAACTAATTGTTGTTAGTAACTTCGAACTATTTTCTTATTTTTTTCATTACTGTATTATGAAGTACTTTTCCTTCTGCCACTTATGGTTCCATAAAATTAGATAAATATTGGTCTATTCAAAAGGAAGATGAAGCACCACCTAAGCTTGTAATTAAACATTAGCCATAATCACAGTTGCTTACCTGATTGACTGCTTTCCTCTTAGATTTTCAAAAAAGCAAAATCTTTGAGATGGGGAACTAGGCCTGTTATTCACTCTAAAGTGTCATGCATATTTATTATTACTGCTGATTAAAGCATTAATGCATAAACAGGATGGCTTTTATATGTTGAGAGCATATTATTTTTCTAGACCCACTATTTTATTCAGAATTTTCTAGTAATGTTCAAAGTTTTTATAAGATTCAGTCCTTTTATTTCCTTATTACCAGTTCAAAACTGAATAGGAAGGAATCTGAAAAATATTTCATTCTGGATTGTGTACTCATTATACATTTCTACGGATTATCCAACCATCCCATACTTACTGAGAAAACAGCAGCCAAAATCTCCACAGCTCCTGTGCTTAAGGTAACATATGGAATCATTTCAGGACTTAAGCCAGCTCCCCTGAAAATGTCATTTGTGTAGAACCAAATCTGGAACAAGAAGCCATCTTCCAGTTAATGGGTTTGAAAAAGGTCATTCAGCCCTAACCAAATTCTAAGTCCTACATACATATATTTAATGATGGACGGGATAGGGAATGTGAATTATGCCATTGAACAACTCCTATATCTCAGTCCGGGCCACAGTTCACACCCCACCCCTGATCTCAACAATCATTGAAGTGGGCCTCTAAGTGCCAGTGAAGCTGTCAATAATTCACCTCAAAAATAGCCAAATGTTTAATACAGAAAGATACTAGTTAAAATCCTGACTTCTAGTACAAATTATTTAACAAATCTAATGAGAAAATGAGGATGCCTGTGTAGTGCTAAAGATCACATCTACTTGCTGTAAATTGCAGGGATCTCTGCACTGTAATAGTCATTTTAAAGCTGACTCCCTGGTGCCTTGTTCCTCTCTGAAGAATAACATTATCGGCAGAAGCCAGTTAGGAAGTTCCTGAAAGGCCATGTTTGGCAAAATTGCTCGTATTGTTTCTTGCTTTATTCCACTACCTAATCATCTGTAAGTGATTAGGGCTGTGTCACAGATCTGAAAAACAACATGATATTCAAGGTGCATACTACATAGTATCTGTTGCAAACACCTGAAACCAAATTGATGGCAGATCTGCAAGCCCAGGATAAATGGTTGAGAGCAAGCATGAAGAATGGAGGAGACTCAGATTCAAATGCACTGTCAGCTACAGAAGCTCTCTCAGCCCAATCTACCACACAGGGTTGTTGTTGTGCGAAAAAGGGAAAGAGGGAACACCATTATGCTGTTTTGAATTCCTGAAGGACAGAAATCAAATACATAAACTAACAAAACATGGCTATTTTAAGGTGTTCTCAACAGAAGCTACATGTATGCCAACATACACTTTTAATCACATTTTGTCTTTTTAATCTGGATCTCTGCACAGCCTATTAGCTGGTTTAAGGAACTTATTGATAAAGAGATTTTATACAGTGGTACCTTGGGATACGAACGCCTCTACTAACGAACTTTTTGGGTTATGACCAGCTCCAGCTGCAAAAATTTACCTCGATGTGCGAACTCCGCCTCGGGGTACGGTCATTTTTCCGCCCCTGACACGTGGTCCGCGGCCGTGCTCCCGCCGCGCCGCACCCGGCCGTTCTCCCGCTCCTGACGCGTGGTCCGCGGACGCCAGAACGGATTAACGGTAATTACACTGAACCTCATGGGAAAATTTGCTTCGGGGTGTGACCAAAT